AGAGTGCCAAAAAGCTTGAGTCGAACGACATGACCGCTTGCAATTTTTGTCTAAACCTCCAAAAACAACACATGTATTTACGTCTTAATTGGTATTTACGTCTTGATAAGAGTGCTGAATTGTTGGCGGCGATAACAACAGGAGTAGGGGAAGTGATAACAACATACCCAACTACTGGACGCACCTACATGAGTCAGACAGTATACCCGATACCAGAAACAAACTGTTATAATCTGTAAATAATTATTTATGTACACTATTGTTTCAATTATTGTTATTGTTTATTTTGCCTTTGTTTGAATTATTATAATAACAATTCCTTTTGTATATATGTATCATTCCATATCAATTTCATTTCATCTCAATTTATGAGTACTACTGTTTCATTATTGTTATTGTATCATTTTGCCCATGATTGAATTGTGTTGATAACAATTCCTTATGTATGTATGCCTTATTTCAATCCAATTATGTTTACTTTTGGTTAGTATAGAGGAGGAGGGCTTAGCATAAGCTAAATAAGCCTTTTCCCCCTCCTCCTGCACCTGTTTTATTCATAATTAATTTACTATGTATAATTTTTTTATTGCTGCTGTGCAAATAATAAACAAACAAATAATCCCAACACTAACTGTTGTTTAGTTCTAACGGGAATATCTTCCTGGGTCTTCTTAGTCATATATATATACATCCATTATCTATTTGTCGTCACGACTTGCAGTCACTGTTCACTTGCAGAACTTAACATTGCCCTTGGAAAGAACGCAACGCAGAGTAGCACCGACGCCTGGGATGGAGCCGAGAAGGCTGTGGATGGTGAATACAATAAGTGTGCTACCATAGGCCTGTCTGTCATAGATCTGTCATCAGCATGGTGGCAGGTGGACCTGGCAGGTTTCTACAGAGTCAGCAGGGTCAGCGTTCAGAGTTTCTCTTTTGGTAAGTTGTTTATGCACTGAAGGTTACAACTACATTTAACGCTAATGCTAGTGCCATTTGTATATCAATGACCATCTACGTCCTCACTAAATCATTGTCACCAAGCACTTAAGACTTGTACCGTTTTAAAGAAGGAACAGCTGTATGTTATAGCACCTCTGTCATTTCTTTCACTGTATCCCTTTTTAGACTGACTTTACTTTCAGCACAAAATAAGAAAAGCTCCATGCATAACTTGGTAGATGTGCGAGTATATGCCGGCCATTAATTATCCGGTTTTTATTCTGTATTCGTAAACTCTCGACATTTCTTCCGCCAAACTCTCGTGATATTTCTATGCATGTGCTGAACAGGAAGAAGTTCCTTATGTAAACTGATGACATTGTGTAATACATATTGGCATTATAATTAGCTCTATTACAGTTTTTAGGAGTTAAGGTAGTTTTTATTTCTTGTGTCTAGTTTTGTATTACTTGCTTGTACTTATTAAACGTCCCTTCTGTATTTGCAATTAGTCCTAGGCCTCGGGCATGAATTTGGAATGAACAATTATATTTATATGTATCAATTTTCTATAGAGTGTATTAGGCCCTGTAGTCAAATTGAGGACATTGTAGCAATCCTTAAAAGAAATTGATAACTTCCCCCGAAACCCAAAGTATGGAAACATGTCCACCTTTAATGGAACAGATTGATAGGCAAGCTGTGAGAAAGTCTCCTCCCGTATTATAAACGCGAGAGCTCAAACGCGCTCCATGCATGTTGTGTCCATTTTGGTGCCAGATAAATATTTCCTATCTGGCCAGAAAGGTGACAGAAAACAGTATACACATCGCCTTTTCTACTATGTAAAGTCGCCGGATATAGGCTTCTCTGTAATTAATGAAGGTGACGCAAAGAATTCTCCTGGTTCCACTTACAAGACGCGTGTGTTAGTTTCCACTTGTCACAGTATATTTGGTTGACTTAATTTTACAGGGTCCGGGGATGGTAGGGTACGAGTTGGTCCGACCGAGAACTTGACCCAGAATGACCAGTGCGGACAGACTTTCCAACTCCACCTTTCGCTGTCCGAATCGGTGTATTGCGAACAGCCTTTATTCGGCCGTTATGTGTCAATAGAGTATGTGGGGCCAATCTACAGCGGCTTTAGACTGTGCGAGGTAGAGGTCTATGTTACAGGTAGCTATAATTTTTCAATGTCTTTACAGGGTAGAGCGGTGAAAATGAAAGCATAGAAGTAGTGTGTAATTATCATCAAACGTATAACCAGGGAAAGTCATTTATGGTTTTAATTCAACCATCATGATGAAGAAATACTAGTACTATCAGGTACCGTGCAATGTCATGCATGTGTAATTTACACAATGTTTTTATTTACTTTCAAGTTAATTTGCTTCAATGGTCTATATTATATTAGTATAACTATTATTTCCGTTAAGAATGAAATTTCGAATTTCTTTGGTCGTTTACAGTATTTCGAAAAAAATATGACCCCTTCATAACCCCTGCTTCTCCTGTTGGGTCAATTAATCCTTACTTTTTGTGAGAATTTGAGCTGGTCTCAATCATGATGTTTCTGACCCAGGAAAAGGAGTTGCTGTTACAATTCTACTCGGTAACCCGTATCCAAGAAGTGTCGTAACGGCCGTGTTACGTAGCGACCACTGCTTAATTTAAAAAAATGTAACTGGCACTTTGGCACTTTTATATCACCAAGCCATTTCTTTTATATATTTACGAATGCACTTTTTTTGCTGCTTTAGCTTTTGTTTCAATGCCAGTTTTTTTTTTTGTTTATCATAAGATATCTGCTGTGACGATACCATAAAACTGAAGAACGGCCAGGTCACTGCTACCGACGGCTACTGCTCTAAGAGCGACATCCAGTTCTCCTGTGACACTGGGTACGAGCTAGTCGGCAACCCTGCCACCTGCCAAAAGAACGGGAGTTGGGACCGAGAATTTCCGACTTGCCAACGTGAGTTTATAGCACCATTACGTTGTGAATGTCATGATAGCGTTATCGTCATTGTTCTTTTGGACGTACTCTTCAGCTTCAGGTAGAGTTGTGAAAACTTTAGGCCCTCCTGGAATGCCGGTACAAAATGTAGTCTCCTGTTGCAATTGTCTTTAGATGTAAAGAAGTCGACTGTACTTAGGATATAATATCATACTATTCTCCAACTTAAAGGGCATTTGTTTGATATATAAAGTATTGGGCTGCAAAAAAATGTGTTTGTGAATGGCTGGTCGTCGGACAAATATTTTTCATGGGCTGTGTTTTTCTTACAAATACATGATGCTTCGTCGGTGAAGGCTAGACATCCACGTAATAAGATACGCCGAAAAGTAGTTACTGGATATGATTTTGGAAACGGTTAGACGTTTCAGATACCATCCACTGTAAGCCTGAGTTCCATCCTGGTTAGTTTACAGTCGACTGTGGGAGCGGACGAAAACTAACCAGGATGGAACCCAGGCTAAATAGACTGCAGGAGAAATGGAGGTTTATAAGCACGAACTATTGAATAATATGCAAATAAGTGAAGTCCAAAATGAAACAAATGTTACACAAGTCAAGACAAGGATGATGCAAATAAAAAAACAGCATCAATATTCCGCTTGTCCAAGGAGTATCCAAAAACCTCCGTCGGATCTTCCAAAAACCTCATTCAAACCTCAGACACAAACTGGTGCACCCCAAGTACCAGGTACCAAGGCTAATGTTATAGACTCAAATGTGAGGAGCCCAATTGTAACAACACTTACATCGGAGAGACCAGTCGACCACTGAAAGTAAGGTATAAGGAATATTGCAGACCCAGTGCCAACAGCTACTCTTCAGCCATTAACCACCACCTACAACACAACCAGAGTCACTCTTTTAAACTTGGGTCCACGGATATCTTAGACCATGAAACACGTTGGTGGGAACGAGGAGCCAGAGAGGCAATATATGAAAGAATGTACAATCCCACCCTCAACATGGAGGGGGGGGGGGTATGGGTAGAACTTTCAGGCACTTGAGATTTGTCGCTCCCGGCCCCAAGGACAGACAAGATATAAAGTTATTAAGCTCCTGCTCCGAAACAACAGGAGTTCCTTTCACTAATTTGCATCATTCTTGTCTTGACTTGTGTAACTTGTGTTTCCTTATGGACTGAAAAGAATGTTTTCACTTATTTGCATATCAATCAATAGTTCTCTTGTGATACTGGATATGAGCTTGTGGGCAGCTCCTTCGCTTCCTGTCGGGACAAAAATCAGCTTTCGTACAAAATTCATTAAAAAAAAACAATATAAGGGATTGCATTCGCTGTAATGCATGCAGAAACTGATGTACAAATTATACCCATCTCATGGTACACGTGATATGGGGAAGACAACATTTTGAGTCGCTATATCACGACTATGAAAAGGTCACAATGACAGACGACATCGGTCCTTCCTCTTCTACATTGCGTGTGAATGAATCAAATTACATTATCTGTAGATTAAATTGTCATACCACATTTATTTCGCAACCCCCGTCACTAGTAACACCAGTACTGGTATTACCGTTCTGGCGCCAGAAAACAAACCTAAATGTTCTAACATCCACACAGTACCTACAGAGGAAAGTCGCACGTCCACTGAAGCCATCATCGGCGGCACCAGTGCCGGTATCGCCGCATTGCTGATTGTGGCAGCTGTCGTCTTCACGGTGTACTTAAGACGTCGGAGGAAGAAAAGAAAAGAAGAAGACTACGAACTATCGACTGTTTACTTTGTACCAGATGATGTTATCAGTGAGTACGGTTTCCAATTTTCATCTGAAGGACTGAAAGTTATGAATTTGTATTTTTTCATCGTTTAGTATATATAAGGTTTATCTACAAGTCGACATTAAAACGTTTTCTCATAAACAAAGTTTGTTTTATTATTTCTTTCCGTCTTTTCTGTATTACATTTTCTATAGTGCTACAAGCCCAGTCGTAGTACACTTTTGATCCAAAGTCAAAAGTACTAGGTATGTGTAGTGACTACGTTTTAACCCTATCTAGACATTTTGGATTCGTGGGACGGGAGGGGGGTGGGGTGGCGGTGATCATTGTCCCCTTCAAAACTCGTGAACGGTGTACGGTATGGTCCGCCATTCTGGATTTTGACCAATGAAAAAAATAGTGCTTTCAAATTAGCATAACGTATGCTTTTTAATGAAGATTACATTAAATTGCATTAGATGTTATTGAAACTAGAGGCACTTGACATAAAACCCAAAAAAGTCTGATGTTGAAACGAAAATTACTGAATTTCAAAAAAAAAAATTGTCAGAAACCCGTTGCCGTGGCAACACAAAATATCACTAACTTATTACACTGATCCAAAAAAAAATTGTTGCCAAAAATATTTTAGGAAAACTCATGAAGTTTCTTGGTTTGGTTCAAGCGCAGGCCGTTCAGACGCTATCCGACATCAAAGTTAGCTCGGACACTTTTAGCCGCTCCTAGGTCTGGATAGGGTTATGGGCAATTCTATATATTTATCTATATATATCCAGATAAGTGTTCTGGTCTTCTGAAAAAGATTCTTTGACACAGCTACCCTCAAGTCCCATTTTTTGTATTTGATAGTATGTCAAAACTCGCGTGATTACATGTACTTAATACAAAAGGAAATAGTCTGAATGGATTTTTTTCTTCGTCGATAAATGACAATATCATTATCAAGACAGAAGCGGGGGCTTCTGGATATTTCAACTTTGGAAATTTGCCGGTAAGTACCTCACTTCTGTGTAAGGATGTAGCGTTTTATCTTTTCAAGCGAATTTTTCTCCTCGACATTTACCCCAGCAACCTTGTCCCACGTTGTTGTACAGTCCATAGGAGGAGATTGGAGGAGATGGTCCCGCCGGTTCCAGCCCGACCACAGTTCCCGAAGTTAGAGACCGACCCCGGCCGGGTGACGCTTGGTGAGAAGATCGGCAGCGGGGCGTTCGGCATCGTTTACCGGGCAACCCTGACGCGGGACGCCCGGACGGAGGACGTCGTCGTAAAAACTCTGAAAGGTTTTGAATGCAAATTACTTTTTTGTTTTTACATTAATGGCTTTGTACGCATTTCACACAATATTCCAACACAATTTTAATCTAGATGTGCACGAATTGTAAACGTGGCTGAATGGAAGTGCGCTTTTCCAGATCTGCACTCTATATGCAAAATACATAAAACTCTGTATGTAAATGTTTTTGTCAAAGCTCTTTACATTTTCTAAAATTCCAAGAAAAAACGCCCGTAGTTAACGATTTAAAATGGAGTTTTCTATAGTTCCCATTACTACGTAACGCTACAATTTTGAATGTTTTCTTAATCCACAGAAAACGCCAGTGAGGATGACAAGCTGGGTTTCCTGGAAGAAATCCGTGCAGTTGTGGACCTGGGGGTTCATAAGAACCTGCTGGGTTTGCTCGGCTGCTGCACGGTGGTGCGAGACCATCTGTATCTCATCACGGAGTTCATGCCGTACGGAGACCTGAAGAGCTTCTTGAGAAAATGCCGGGAGGTGAGCCACATGGTTGTTTTTTTTTCTGAAATGTGGTACATTCAACTTGATAGCTAGGAACTCTAAGAAATATTTCTTGAATTTTGCAAGCGATTAAGAATGATGAGGATGGTGTATTTTTAGTTAACGGACCAAATTATTAAGGGGCATTCTGGAAAAGGTTAGTTTTTACTTTATATATGTTTGTGCCATTTGGGCATTAGAAAAGTTTGTTTAGTCTACTCTTTTAATTATGTTTTATAACATGCCTTTATATTTACGTTTCCATAGGAAGCGACCTCTGATGAACCTGGAGACGATATCTACACCTTTGAGGTGATACAGATGTATCAGGTGGCACGGCAGATCGCTAGAGGCATGGTAAGTACCACTATCAGGTGCTGCAGAGCAACATGTGCCAGGTGCTGCACATGTTACCGTAAACGTAGGAATTGCTGCAGATGTTCCACGTGCTGCAAATTCCAGATACTATAGATGCTATGCTATGTGTTTTAGACGTATCAGGTGCTACAGCTGCACTAGGTGCCACAAATGCACCAGATGCTGCCCATATGCATGAAATTAGTACATAAGAATCTATTTCATCTGTACAATTGTGGATTACAATTTACAATACATCAAATGCTCCCAAACGAAACATCACAATTGTAGCATTGATTGGCTGGACCTTAGCCAAGACTAATGTAAAATAGCAGAACCGTCACGAACTTTGTGTTGTTCATGTTCCAGGATCACATCGCCCGGTCTCGTTACGTCCACGGAGACCTGGCCGCTCGGAACGTGCTGGTCGGAAAACGCCTGCATGTGAAGATTTCTGACTTCGGGCTGGCAGAAGACATCTACAGCAGAGGTTACCGTCGGCAGGACCGGCTCCAGAGGGTGCCCTGGAAGTGGATGGCGCCGGAGCGGCTGGAGGATGGGAAAGCCTACACCACACAGAGCGATGTGTGAGTAGTCTTATCATAATATCTGCAGTCAACTATTATAATCAAACTCTAACTCTAATCTAACATCAAGCAGAGCGATGTGTAAGTAATCTTAACATAATATCTGCAGTTAACTACTATAATATCAACTCTCTAACCCTACCCTAACACCACACAGAGCGATGTGGGCGTAGTCTTATCATAATGCCTGCAGTTAGATATGATAACCAATCCAAAACTCTGACCTAACACAGACAGAACGATGTGTGAATCTTATCATGATAATACCTGCAGTTAAATATGATAACCAATCTAGAACTCCAACCTAACACCACACAGAGCGATGTGTGAGGAGTCTTATTATACTAGCTATAGTATTACCAATCCTGACCCATATTCTAAAAGGCCATCTCTCAAAGTTACCGTGACTTCAAATCAACTTTTAACAGGTGGTCCTTCGGGATAGTGTTGTACGAGATCTGTACGCTAGGGGGCGACCCTTACCCTGGCGTGGCAGTATCCGAGCTGAAAGACCGCCTACAGGCTGGATTCAGGATGGACCAACCTGAAGACTGTCCGCGAGCCATGTAAGTCTGCTAGTTTATGTACACTTATCGTTAGCATTCGGACAAGTTTAACTCTTTCATAGAATGACGTATTAGATAGGAACAGAAGCACTCATATCATCGAAATACACCCGGTAACCATTTACGTTATCCTGCTCACCCTCAAAAATGCATGATATTGCTCGAAACTGAAACTCCGTACAGCACACTTTTATATGCTCCAAATTTTGTGAATCGCAATAAGGTAAACTATGAGGCCATAATGCATTTTGCCCGAGGACCTAAATTGCTTAAGTTCAAATGACGATCGGTAGATGTCGCTTTCTCCACAGGTACGATCTGATGCAGCAGTGTTGGCGCTGGCAGCCCATCCAGCGGCCGCTCTTCAGCCAGCTGTATCTAACACTGGACAAGCATCTCGCCTTCTACGGACCCGAGTACTTACTTAATTAATAATCTATGCTGCCGTTGTAGAACGAGGCACCATCAAACTTCTTCCAGCCGTTCCAATCTTGGCCCAGCTATCCGTTCTCATGCCAGGTCTTTTGGGTTGTCTTTATTTCCTCTTCCACAGTCCTTCTCCATGTCCCTAGATGAGCCTTTCTTGGGAATCCATCTGAAGGGGAACGTATGAATGCTTGTTCTTGCTCGTACATAGAATATGCCCTAACCATCTCCAACAACGTTTGGGATACCTTACATCTGCTGACTACCTTGTTTTCTACTTTTTTCTCTCTCAATGTCTCTTTCAGCTCCTTCGGACGCACCTGCTTCTCGATCTTTTTGTTTGTCCTTTTCAAGGTTTATGCGGCGCACGGATTGACTAAATGAACATTTGAGTTGTATATCCTTCTTGATTGGTACATTTTGGTTTCCTTGATTCTCGCTCCGTCTCAGCGTGTGTTGCTTAGCTACTTTTCTGCCTAAGCAAGCCGCGTTCGAATTCCGCATTCTATTTTAAATGTCCCCTCCGCCCCGTAAGCAGTTTAAATGGGGCTATTTAGGACGAGGGGACCACCAATGTACATAGGTAGCTTAAGTTAAGGTACACATAATCAGGCACAATTTATGCAAACTAAGGCGTTTTCTAAATGGTGTATTTTAACTAAGAAAGAAATTCCATAATTCCGTTTTTCATTATTGCAAATTTATATACTTATAATTAGCGATACTTGAGCGATTGGAATGTCATACTAACGATACTGATAAGTTAACCAAAGGTGAACTGTATTATGCTTAGATTATATAAATGTAGACATTGTTTGCAAATAAGGAAGTGTTTAAATAGTATTCTGCCAAAGAAAATAACTTTTACATTCAACTATATATGTACTTCATGACGAGTAAGCTATATATACTGTACTAGTTAGCAACTTATTCACGTCATTAATGACATAAATTAAACAAAACATTACAAAAAGATAGACTACGAAAGTTTCAGAACATCAAACTATTGTGATATTATCTTACCAGTTAATTGTGTATCAATTGATAGTCTTCTACACAATTCCTTTAAATTTCGTGGCGATCTAAAAAATGTTTTTCTCTACCATAATATTTTACAAGAATACTTCACTTATAGTTTATTTTGTATGAGTAATTATGTAAATTCCACATCAATAACGTTTGACACCTTAATCAGAGTTTATCAACCCTTTTTATAGATTACATAAAATTTTTAAGATATTGCTTCTAAGCAAAGAAATGTTAACATAGCATTATGCTGTAAGACGAATTTAAATACTTAACGATATGTTTAATCAAGGAGAAAACTATCAATATACATATAGATTGTTAGCGTGAAAGTTCAGTGTGTTGGTACAAGTCATTATGAAATAAAGACTACCCTTTAACTTCCAACACTTAGATTACAGAATTGGGACTTACCCAAATTTTCGGTTGACTCCATCAACCTTGTTCATAGCATATTGATTGTTGTAATTAGCAACTTATTAATTCATCCATAAAATAAACGTTACAAAAATTGACGTTAGTTACATAACTTTAAACGGTTGTTTAAATAATACCTTACTTATGATTATATCAGTTTGGTTGTGACCCGGTATGCTCTGTGTGTCTGTTGTTTGAAATGGACAGGAATGTGTAGTGTGTATGAAACATAGACCTTACAATAAATGCTAAAAAGTAACATGCCACACTATGGTGATTTGTATCGGTTTGAATTGGTGATTT